CATTAGAAAAATCATATCTGGCACAAGTAATTTTGTATTAACACCATCGGGTTCGAAGGGAAGTATCCACATGAATCCCCATATTTACATGTCCCCTGCGACACATGAAGGAATTGGCCTGAAAATTCAGCGGCCCACTTCTGGTGTATGTGTGGCAGTTGTTAAACTAACCTGCAAGCTATTTAAAAAAAATGATAAACTGTATTGCTCAGTGTTGGATATGCTATCTGTGATCCTAACACATAATCTGTGATCCTAACAACAGTAACTCAGTAAGGGCTTGCGAGTTTACACAATTCCAAATCAAAGATGTCGATCAACCTGTAGCATTAGGTTATTGGTGGTATTGGATTGGCACACAAGGATATGCCAATCGGGCCGGCAATCTTTACTTTTGGAATCCATTCATATGAGCTCCCACAACTAAATAGAAAGAAATAATCGGTCAACATATATGTAACCCGTATTTTTCAGCCGGAACAGTGTTTTTCTCACACAACAAATCAGCCGGAACAGTATTTCGGCTTGTTTTTTCAGCGAAGCGAACGGAACCAATAGGGAAACATGGCTACGGAAATTGAAATAAAAAGGACAAAGAAAATAGATACACTCAGATGCACGCCCAAAAAAAATGAGGCAAAATTGGCTACGGGACATTGAGAGTGACCTTCCTATGCTGCTAGACACGTCAAATGAAGCAGTTTGCTGATAGACACTCTGCTTATTGTCAAATTTGCTGGTGGACACCGGACCGAATAAAATATTTATTTCTATGTTCCGAGAAGGGAGAAGAGCAGTGAAATGTCCATTATGCCCTTGCCTCTATCTTCTTCCCTGTTCTCTGTCTGAGCTAGCAGCGAGGCGCTCCAGGCCCCGTCCAGGCCGTGAGCCCCACCCTGAAGATGTCCGCGCCCACACCATGGCCGGCTCCGGCGAGGCCACAGGGCCACCCGCGCTTGCTTTCAGCGCGGCGCGCGCTCCGCTCCGCCTCACCGCGCCTCAGCCAGGACGCGCGAGCCCGCCCTCGAAGATGGCCGCGCCCACCATGGCCGGCCCGACAAGGCATGGGTGCGGCCGCGACCTCCATCCGCCCTGCCCGTGCTTCATCCGCCTGCGCACCAGGCTCGTGCTCGATTAGCGCCGTGCTGCCCGTGCCACGAGGCGCAGACGACACCGATCACGCCCCGCCGCAGCCGCGACATCGCCACCTTGGCCACCATCGCGCATGTCCACACCCACACCCGCCTTAGGCCGCGAGACCGTCGGGTGGTGCCGTCTGATCCAGCCTTTCTTTGGTGGCGAGGCCGCACCAGGCCGTCCGAGGAGAACATGGCGCAGCCGCCACGGTCGGCGCTGACGCTCCCGACCTCGGACTGTTAGTTTGATCTCCACCAATTAGCCCAATGGCCAATTGGGCCCTTGGATCCGCGCCCTGATCGAGAGCGCCCAACCGCTCAATAGTTGGTGGGCCCCCGTCGCATAGCACCATAAAAGAGAGGTGGGGGCCAAGGCACAAGGTACGAGGTTCCCCTGAGCGACCAGGCGCCCCACCGACGATTCCCTAATGCTAACCGATCCAGAGAGAGGGTGCTGCCAGCGATGGGAAGCCGCCACCGATGTCACCGTCGCTTTGCATCGCCCCCACCCTCTGGACTCCATCGCACTTTCTGCTGCATTTACGACACTGGCGGCCACGCATGGTCTTGGGCGCCATGGCCAGAATCGCCCTAGGCGAGGTATATTACCAAGTTTCCCCATCTAAGTCAAGTTTATCCCATGATGTATGTTTTAGAGGTACTATGATCTATCAATGGTATCAGAGCTAGGTCATCTAGTGTGTAGATCGAGTGTTGGGGTAGAAAAGAAGAACATTTTAGAAAGAAGATGGACAAATCAAAAGAATGCAAATCGGGTTTAACCTAACCCTAAATGAAGAAAAGAAAGAGAAAGGGGTCTCGGTTTTGAGGAACTCAAACCCTAACCCTAACTTCACGTAAGTAGAGAAGCGGAGAGATAGAATAGTGGGTCCCAAGGCACAAGAAGATAAAATCCCATATACATTTGTTTCTTCTATTTTGTTTGCGTATTTTCTCATTTTCTATTGAATCCGATTCTAAAATCATTCCTTAGAAAGCCACACAAAAGATGACTGTCTTATAGGCATTAAGGATATAGATCTAACCTGATTCCGCCCCCCTGAATGCATATATACTTTACCTCTTCCATAATATAGTCTATTCTCTCTCCTACAACTCTAGGTTGTATATTCATACGCCTTTCGAACTATTTAGTTTTCCAACTAAGAGGATTATCCGGAATCATGCATGAATTGGGCTAAGCTAAAAAAAAAAAAAAAAAGACTATTTCAAAAACTAGTTAATTCAATGATGACCTTCCATGGATTCACCTATATAGGCTGCGGCTAACGTTGCAAAAATAAGAGCTTGAATACCGCTTGTAAATAATCCAAGAAACATGACCGGTATAGGGACTACTAAGGGGACTAAAGAAACAAGAACAACAACGACTAATTCATCCGCCAATATATTTCCGAAAAGTCGAAAACTAAGTGATAATGGTTTTGTGAAATCTTCTAGGATGTTAATAGGTAAAAGGATTGGGGTTGGTTTAATATATTTTTCGAAATAACTCAATCCTTTTTTGCTAAGACCTGCATAAAAATATGCCGCTGATGTTAGTAAAGCTAAAGCAACAGTAGTATTTATATCATTCGTGGGCGCTGCTAATTCCCCATGGGGTAACTCTATAATTTTCCAAGGTAAAAGAGCACCTGACCAATTCGAAACAAAAATAAAAAGGAACATAGTTCCAATAAAGGGAACCCAGGGACCATATTCTTCTCCAATCTGAGTTTTGCTCAAGTCTCGAATAAACTCAAGAACATATTCGAAGAAATTCTGACCATCGGTCGGGATGGTTTGTGGATTCCGAACAGCTATGATAACTGAACCTAGCAAAATAGTAATTACGACCCAAGAAGTGATGAGTACTTGGGCATGAATTTGGAAACCTCCTATTTGCCAATAGAAGTGTTGGCCTACTTCTACACCCGATATATCATATAACCCCTTGAGTGTTTTAATGGAACATGGTGTAATATTCATATTGTCCTCTGATAAAAATTGAACTTCAAAAAAGGAATTCTTTTGATTCAAGCATCTCTTTCTCAACTCAGCAACTTGAAGTATTAATCTTATATTTAATATACCAAGAAATCACATCAGATCATAATATATATCAATACCCTCTAATATATATCAATATTCCCCTTCTTTTATCTATGCAAAACAAAAAATAATAGTAATTAATCCTATAAATCTACGCAGTTGCTCAAGAATTAACTATTCTTCTTAATCAACGATTTCTTATATAGAGAGAACGGCCCTCAGAAATTGCAAATACTAATTTGTTAAGAATTAATCGAATTGAAGTCATAGTGTCATCGTTGGCAGGAATCGATATATTAGCAAGATCTGGGTCACAATTTGTATCGACTAAAGAAATAGTAGGAATCCCCAAAATGGCACATTCCCGAAGAGCTATATACTCTTTTTGCTGATCAAGGACGATCACAATGTCAGGCAACCTCGTCATATATTTGATCCCGCCGAGATATCTTTGCAAGGTAGATAATTTTCTCTTTAAGATTGCCGCATCTCTTTTTGGGAGATGGTGGAATTTTCCCATTTTTTCTTCTGCTCTTAAGTCTCTAAATTGAGAAAGTCTAGTTTTGGTAATCGACCAATTCGTTAACATACCGCTGAACCACTTTTTATTAACATAATGACAACGAGACCTTATTGCAGCTGATGCTACTAAATCCGCTGCTCTTTTTTTGGTACCAACAATTAAGAAGCTTTTTCCCTGACTTGCTGCATCAAAAACTAAATCACAAGCTTCTGATAAAAAACGAGCTGTTCTAGCAAGATTTGTAATATGAGTACCTTTACGCTTTGCCGAGATGTAAGGGGCCATTTTGGGATTCCATTTCTTAATACCATGACCAAAATGAACTCCCGCTTCTATCATCTCTTTCAAATTGATGTTCCAATATCTTCTTGTCATTTTTTCCACACTTCCTTTTTATTTTTTCTTTTTTCGTCTTACCATTACGGAATTAATTTCTTTTTGAAGATTAAGAAAGAGCCGAAATAGCTTGAAATAAATAATAATTGTTCCGATGGAACCTTCTACTCATAATTGACCATTGATACACGGTATAAACATAGCCTTAATGAATTAACTGACTTCTTTTACTTATTAAAATACAATTCAAATGAAAATACAAAATAGAAAATCAGACCTGTTAGCATTCTAAGGTCAAAAGTATAGTTTAAATTAAAGTAAAAAAAATTGCTTTATGTATACTTAAATCGTATAAATAGGGGTAAACGGGGTCTCTGATGTTTCATAGAAATTGTTTGTTACGTCAGAATCAGAAGAAACTAATTCTGTATGGAGAAACAAAATATCTCTCATTTCCGACGCGAATAGATTTTTTTTTTGAATTTCGAAATAAAGGTTCTTGTCTTGTGGGGAACGATGCACAAATTTTTGGAATCCGGTACCAACAGGTATAATCCCCCCCAGAACTACGTTTTCTTTCAGGCCTTTCAACCAATCAATACGACCTCGTAGGGCAGCTTTTGCTAAAACTCGAGCAGTTTCTTGAAAACTTGCTTCAGATATGAAACTTTGGGTATTCAGGGAAGCCCTTGTTATTCCCAATAAGATTGCCCGATAATAGATCGATTCATCTAAAGCCCGCCCTGCTCGTTCCGCTCGCAATAGTCCTATTAATTCCCCAGGTAAAAAAACATTAGACATTCCATCTTCGGAAACCCTTACTTTTGATGTTACTTGGCGTATAATAATCTCTATATGTCTATTATGGATCTGTACCCCTTGGGATCGATAAACCTTTTGGATCTTATTAACCAAAGAGATACGACTTTGGGCTATGGTTAGCTCAGCTCCAATCAAGAATCCCCAGGGAACCCCAAGAATTCTTGGTATACGTTCATTCCAATCCTCAATTCTCCTTTCGAGATTCGGCGATAGTGAATCAATTGAACGCGCTTCGAAGATTTGTTCTACTTTTGGAAGACCTTGCGTTATATCACTGGATCTCGATTTTTCATATATAAACGTAACTAACCTATCTCCTTTGTAAAGGATTTTTCCATAATGACCATGAACAGTTGCTCCTATAGTGGCCAAATAAGGCTTAGCTGCTCTTAGAACAAAGGAGTCCATATTAACAATGAAAATTTGACCAGATTTTTTTATGTGTGATTTAAATAGACATAAATTTTCACAAATAAATTGTCCAAGGTGAATTATTGCCAATGTCTCTTCCCATGAGTCATGATGGAGAAAGTGCCAATTCAAATGGAATGGCTCCAACATGATGTTACTGTCAAAATTCGAAATCCTTTTATTTTCGTCTATTAAAGAGTATTTAAGTCCTTGAAGTACTTGGAAGGTTTGTTTCAAATTGTCAAGGAACAAGTATTTTTTTAACAAGATCTGATTATGCGTTAATAAATAGTAAGATGAAGAAAAATTCGATATACTAGGTACAATAACGCCTAAGAGCCCAAAAATATCTCGAATAGGAATTCTAGGATTCGATTCTTTTACCGCATTGGGATATTTCGAATTCTTGAATAAACCAATTCGAGAACAGTTGGATGCCAACAAAATCATCAAAGATGGATATTCTTTATTTCGATTCAACAAGGTGCCAATAACTTCTTGATGTTGGCTAAGTGATTGAATCTTCGCCTTGGAATAAAAGGAATTGGTATTGTTGCGATCTAACCTATTATTGGGAATCAGTCCTACACTTGTCCTATCATACCTTCTTCGTGTATACGAAATAGTAGACTTGACTAACTCAATTCTTAGGAAATCGCGAATTAGATCGTTTGTTCTTACCTCAACAAGAGAAGCACGAGCCCCCTCTTTTTCTTCTTGTTCCCAATTCACTACTAAGCAAGTTCGAACGAATTGACTATTCGTGTGATAAATTCTTTGAGTTAACTTGCTATTTTCATGAGAAATAAAATTGACAAGTCGAAGTTGGAGATTATCCTCTTCTTGCAGGAGATCCTGCGGGAAAAGTGTTGCTAAATTTCTCCCTTCGTCCATTTCATATGCGACTGCAGGTCGAACCGAAACAAAATACTTTTCCTTGCTTTTGAGAATTTTTTTCCGTTGAACATAAACCCAATTTTTCCTTTTTTTTGATTCCTTAGAATCTTTTTTTTCTCTTTCTGGTGGTATCAAACTGCCACCTAATATCTTATCCGCCTCTTCAGGAAAATGAATATCTCCGGAAAAGATTTTGAGTTCTGTATGGCTTTTTTTTCTCTTCACTCGGACCAATCCACCTAGTCGACTTCTTGTATTTTTTGTGAGTTGTGTATCGACTCCAATAATACTATTGTCAAGTACCTTTAGGGATGAGGATCTCGGCAAGATATGCAGTTCTTGAAGAATGAAAAAAAACCGATCTACTTCTTTTTGGTATTTTAGACTAAATTCTTTTGTTCCTCGATGCTCAATAAAACCCTCTTTTTTTAAGATAGAATCTTCCTCCGGGCTCCCATATTCGTCTTCTGAGTCTTCCTCTGAGTCTTCCTCTGAGTCTTCTTCTAAAGTCCCATATTCCTTCTCTGAGCCATCTTCAGAGCTCCCATATTCTTCTTCTGAGTCTTCCTCTAGGATTTCATATTCGCCCTCTCCCTCTCGGGTCCTATATTTGTTCTCTAGGCTCCCATATTCTTCCTCTGAGTCTTTCTCTAGAGTCCTATATTCGTCCTCTAGGATCCCATACTCATCTTCTAGGGTTTCATATTCGTCCTCTAGAGTCCTATATTCATCTTCTAGGATTTCATATTCGCCCTCTCGGGTCCTATATTTGTTCTCTGGGCTCTCATATTCGTCTTCTGAGTCTTCTTCTCGAGTCCTATACTCTTCCTCTCGGGTCCGATATTCTTCCTCTCGAGTCCTATACTCTTCCTCTTGGGTCCGATATTCTTCCTCTAGGGTCCTATATCTAAATTTAACAATTCCTGAACCCCTTTTATCTTTTCTGTATCGTGGATCGTCAAAATAAGCAAAAATAGTATTTCTACGTAAAACACCCATAAAGGGTATTTCCATTGAAATACCCAAACAGGATATTCGCTCTTTTTCTTGTTCTTGATGATATTGTAATGGAACGACGAACCTATTTCTTCGCTTTTTCGCCAACAAATCCGAATTATCTTGAAGAATAGAAGGATAGAAACAATTCCAATGACCGTTGGATACGATTCGATCTGGCGTTAAATAATCAAGAATTTCCCTATCTTTTTTACCAAAAGTATCCAACAGTCTATGGCTTACTTGATCATTAGCCATTGAGAAGTCAAAGATATATCTTCCATCAACAGAAAAAGAATAAGTATTCATTTGATCTTGATCCTTGTGCAGTGAAAAAGATGCTATACTGGATCTGCACATACTTACTGACAATATCCATAAATGGCTTGTTTTTGGTAATCGACGAAGATTACCATATTGATATTCGGGCGCATGGTAAACATCAGTACTCCAGTGCATTTCCCCGTCTGATTCGGAATAAATATGCTTTTGTACCTTTTCTTTAAAATGCAAAGTGGACATTCCGGCACGAATCTCCGCAATTACTTGTTCAGATTCTACATATTGATCATTTTGCACTAGAATCAAGCTTTTTAACGGAATATTCACACTATGTAGAATATCCTGACTCTGAATAGTTACATGCAAGTCTATATAGCATAGAAAAGCAGGCTGCCCATGACGGGTACGTGTGGGGTGAACCAAATCCTCATTGAATTGGATTTTTCCATTCGAGGGGGATCGTATAAGGTCGGCAGTACCCCCTGTGAATACTCCACCAGTATGAAAAGTTCTTAATGTTAGTTGAGTCCCCGGCTCCCCAATTGATTGACCCGCAATAATACCTACAGCTTCCCCCAATTCGACCAGATCCCCATGAGTGGGACTCCGCCCATAACATAATTGACAGATCCAAGATGTGCTCCGGCAAGTAAAGGGGGTTCTAATATATATTGGTTGTGCTCGAAACGGTTGTGCTCGAAAGGCAGTTATGAATCGATTGACTAATCCAATTCCAATATCTTGATTTCGAGAAGCAATGCATCGTGAACCAATATATATATCGTCTGCTAATACACGACCAATTAGTGTTTGGACAAAAAGTTTTTCCGTCATCCCATTTTGAGGACTCACAGAAATACCTTGGATAGTACCACAATCTCTTCTACGCACAATAATATGTTGAACTACTTCAACAAGTCTACGTGTAAGATAGCCAGCATCCGCTGTTCGTACAGCAGTATCTACAACCCCTTTTCGGGCTCCGTAGCAGGAAATTATATATTCTGTCAAAGAAAGTCCCTCGCGTAAATTGCTTTGAATAGGTAAATCAATCATTTGTCCTTGAGGATCCGCCATTAACCCTCTCATACCTACTAATTGGTGTACCTGAGATGCATTTCCTCTGGCTCCTGAAAAAGACATTAGATAGACTGGATTAGAAGGATCCGTTATTCGAAAATTCGAATTCATTTCTTGTTTCAAATATTCACTTGTAGCATACCATATCTCAACGGATTGGCGTAATTTTTCTACCGCGTGTACAGCTCCATAATAATAGTGTTTCTCCAAAAGAAAACTCTGTTGTTCCGCGTCTTGGACTAACCATCCTTTAGAGGGTATTGTTAAAAGATCCTCGATTCCTAAAGAAATCGATGTAGTAGTGGCTTGATGGAAGCCCAGAGTCTTTATTTGATCCAGTATATGGGATGTATATCCCATTCCGAAATGATCTATTAATCTGCTAATAAGCCGTTTCATAGCAGTTCCGTCTATCTCTTTATTATGAAAGACCAGGTTGGCCCGTTCTGCCATACATAAGTACCCCCTTTTTTGGCTGAGTAGGATTCGACAATTGCTGAGTAGGATTCGACAATGGGCCTGAGTCAGTGATTCGAAAACTTAATTTACTCCCTTTCCTCAATCTCAATCTGGATTTGCGCGGCAAAAAAGATGGTACTAGCGAAATCGGAATGCCCCCCGAAAGGGGCATCGCCGAATTTAACTTCCTTGTTTAGATAGTGTATGAATAGGCCCGACTAAATCCTTGTACGGCTTCCTCTATTTCTCTATAAAAAGAAATATGACCAAGAGTGGTTCGAATGTATATAGAACGGATTTCTTTTTTTCTATTTCCCACTACTAGATAGTGGGCATAAATCTCATGATAAGTCCCAAAAGATTCATATTGAACTTCAATCGGAACTTCTCTTGACCCAACGATGCGTTGATCTAGTTTCCATCGGAGCCACAAGGGACTGTTTAAACCGATTCGTTTCTGTCTATAAGCTCCCAGTGCATCATAGGAACTAGAAAAATGGGGTTCTTTATCTTTTGTATACTTATAATAATTGTTATTATTGTAGTTTATTTTTTTATTTGGAGAGTTTCCGCAACTATTATATCTATTTGCACAAATACCTCGACGGTTTCCAATCGTTAATACATAAAGTCCGATAAGCATGTCTTGGGTTGGCACGCAAATAGGATCTCCAATAGCGGGAGACAGGAGATTCATATGAGAAAACATAAGTAAACGGGCTTCCGCCTGAGCTTCCAAGGATAAAGGTAGGTGAACAGCCATTTGATCCCCATCAAAGTCCGCATTGAAACCCTTACACACTAATGGATGTAAACAAATAGTACGTCCCTCTACTAAAGTGGGTTGGAAAGCCTGTATGCCTAATCTATGCAGGGTAGGTGCTCTGTTCAACAGTACAGGATGTCCCCGCATAACTTCTTGAAGTATTTCCCATACAATGGGTTCCTTTTCCCAAATTTTCCTTTTAGCAATCCTGACATTACTTGGATTAGATGTGACCCAACTAGGTTAAAATCATAAGCATAGCTTGGTTTTAAGCCACAAGTGTAATTAAATTCCTAAATAAACAAATCATGCATGCATCCTTAATTCCACTTGTGATTTGGATTCTTTTTCCTTATGTGATGTTTAACTAACTTACTTAATAATTATGATAAACCCTAATATATGGGATGTATTTTGACCACCATTGAAACACCTTGTGGGACCCACTACATAACTCAAAGCTCAAGTTTAAACTCTAACTAAGTTTGAATCAAGCAAAAGAAATAAAAAGAAAGGAAAGAAGAGGGAGCGACTTAGCCTAGCACTTTGCCTCGGCCCGCCCAACTAGCCCAACCAAGCCTACTTTTGCCCTTTCATCACAAGATACCACGACGAGCCGGACCACCGTCGGCCATCATGCACCGACGCCGCCAAGATCAGGACAATCTTACAAACTGGACCCCACGCCACCACCCCCGCAACATGATCATCTTCCTCCCACGCCAACCTCTTCCACGACCGGAGCCGACCACGGAGCGAGGCGGGCGGGGTCACGGGTCACGCAAGAAGCATGACCCTGTTTCCCCCTTGCGCCGCGCCTACGCTACCGCACACGAGCCGTCGGATGCGCCGCACGCATCACCACCGCCCGATCGATGTCTGCCATTGGAGCCCTTGGAGCTCGGCTATAAAAGCCAACGCCCGTGAGCCCTAACCCTCAGCCCGTTCGCCGCCGCCGCTGGTGGCACAGCACCACACCGTGTCAAGCTGAGAGAGAGGAGGAGGAAGAAGCAAGGAGGAGAAGGAAGCCGCTGTGGAACCAGACCTCGCCGGAGCCAGGAGCACCGCCTTGATCGGCTACAGCGACGAAGCTGCTCGGCACGGCACTGCATCGCCTCATCATGGCCTCGCCTCGCCACCGCACTGCCATCCTAACGCCATGAGCCCTATGGTGAGCCACGTCGCTCGCCGCTCACCGCGCTAGCCGTACTCGCCATGAATGCCACTGCATTCCCGCACTGGAAACGCAGAGGCGGAGCATTCCCGCTCCTGGACATGCTGCACACACACCGCACATGCACCAGCCCAAGGTCTAGCCTCACCGACCCCTAGCGGCTCGGGAACACCGGCACGACCACACCTAGCCTCTCGGACACCATGAACGGACCACGTCGGAGCACGAGCTCTTGCTCCGGCTTAGCCAACCGGTAGCATAGAAGGACCACCATGACCCTCTTGTTGAGCCAAACAGAAACGCGAAGCAAAGGGAAGAAAGGGGGCGACGCTGAGCCCTCTGCTCGAGAACACCAGCGCCGAGCGCTCGGCTCATGCCATGCATACGCATCGCACGCACGCACGCACGCGCTCACCATGGCCAGAGCACCACCATGGCGAGACCACCGTGTCTTCTATGTCGTGGTAAAGGCGACATTGACACCCTGACTGGCTCCGCCATGACGAAAGACACACCGCGCTCACCTTAGTCGAGGATGAAGCCCACCCGAGCCCTGCGTTGCCGCACCGCACCTCGTTGGAGCGCCACCGCCTCCGCTTTACCCCGACCACCGTGGCCGGAAGCGTTGAGAACTCCCGGAGCCCCTTCGACCTGCTCGCCATGGCCGTAGCAGCGTCGGGGAGCTCGTGCGCACCACAAATCTCTGGTACCGCCGCCACAGCCACCACACCGCCGCTCGCCGGTGTACGAGGATCGCCACCACCATGGCAAGCCAACTGGAGCCGTCCGGCCACCACGTTAACTTCACCGGGGCACCCGCCATGGCAAGGCCAAGCTTTTTCCCACCTTAATTGCACACCTGCGCCACTAGAGGGGCTCTCCGGTGAGCTCGCCACCGGCGGGAGCACGCCAGGAAGGAGAAAGGGATTTTTCCCTCGCCAGCCACACGTCCGAGCACTTGGTGCACGTGCAACGAACACTGGGAAGGAGTAAGTGGACCAAGTCCTTCATAGACCGGCTCTGCGGTCTATGGACCAACGCAGGAGGGTTCACCATGAACCGCACCTCACCTATCAGTCACCGTTTGACCTCGGACCCACCTGTCAGCCGCAGTTTAGCTCGGATGGCGCCATGCTGACGTCATGCCGATGATAAGACCACGCCAGCGTCGGGGGCTTCAGCAATCTCTTTGACTACCTCTGTGATCTCACCGACCACGTCGGCTGGCCTTCCGACCACCTCGGTCAGCCTTCCGACCACGACGGTGATCTCTCCGACCACTTTAGTGATCCCTCCGACAACCGCTGCAACCTTTCCAACCACCTCTACAACCTCTCCGACCACCCCACCAGCTGATACACCACTCCAAGACTATGAGAACCAGTCACAGTGTGACACATGTCAGCCCTGAATTAATCAGCCTTAATTTAATCTTCAGAAATATATAACTAATTCATACGATCTCAGAAAAATACAAGACCAGGACCAAAATTCATC